GTGCTGTGGCTCAAGTGGTAGAGCGCTAGCCTTGAGCTGAAGAGCTGAGGGACAGCGCCCAGGCCCAGAGTTCAGGCCCCACGACCGGACCCCCCCCAAAAAAAATCTCAAAAGTATGCTCTCAAAAATGTATAAAATTCTATGGAATTGATGTGATGTTAATCATCATAGGCAATACTAATTTATAACTGAAAAATTCACAAGGCTTACTACTGAAATAGGCGGACTCCCAATCTCATAGATTTTTTTTGGTTTTGGTTAAAAATATAAAAGCTTATATATTCTTAGATTTTCTTTTTTTTTAAATTTAAGTAGCTGTACAAAGGAATTGCTATTCAACAAACCAGTTACGAATACAATGCACCTTGGTCAGTGTTACCTCTTTGAATATTCTCACCCCTCTGCTCCACCCTCCCTTTCCTCAAAGTTTAGAAAATTAAAAATAGAGAGTATTGATCTCTAACACTGAATCAAATAAGCGTGTTAAGTAAACTAGAGAGTGTTTAAAACTTTGAAATACAGAGAATGATAATGTTATCCTTAGCACCATTAGCACTGAGAAAAATCAGCAAAAATACTAAAATTTACCAAGGATAGGTTTTATTTTGGGGAGTTGGTTATTTTGTATTCTCCACTAACTAGCTTTGGAAAATAACAGCAGAGGGTGGGATGATTGCTGTTCATGGCTGACCTCTTCTTCCCACAGAACGTTTGTAAATGGGTCTTCTGTCTCCAGTCCAGTCCAGCTGCACCACGGGGACAGGATATTATGGGGAAACAACCACTTCTTCAGGTATCACCATGCTCATAGCCCTTAGTGGGGAAATGCTGTCGAAAATTATGCTCTAAAGTAGAAAGGTACCTTATAAATGTAACTTTAATTCCTTAATGTTATAGATATTATTTTCTATGTATTTATGTATAAAAATATATCTGCTATGTGTGTGTTATAGGTTTGTTTACATACATCTGGACCTGAGGGTATAGGAACAATACATTGCCGAAAAATACAGAGTTTATTAGCATTTTTTTTTTCTGTTTTGTTTTTTGCCAGTCCTGGGGCTTGAACTCAGGGCCTAGGCTCTGTGAGTGTCTTTTGCTCAAGGCTAGCACTCTACCACTAGAGCCACAGCGCCACTTCCAGCTTTTTCTGTGTATGTGGTACTGAAGAATCGAACTCAGGGCCTCATGCATGCAAGGCAAGCACTCTACCACTGAGCCACCTTCCCTACATTTTTTTTTTTCTATTTCCCAGTGGAAGTTGGTTGTTTTGGTATTAGGACACAGTTTCTTAGCCATAAAATCAGGTAGATATTTTCCTCAGGGATATTTTCAGCAGTGAAGCATACTTGCCAGAGATAGTTTAATGGTTAGACCTCTTATTTCTCTGATCTGAAGGGAAGTGGCACCTGATATTGTGAAGCCTCTCAGAAATGTCAGGGCAGCAATCTTCCTGTTGTCTGGGTGTTGTCCCACGGTCTAGAGATAGCTGTACTGCTCCAGCCATAGAAGAAACATTCAGCTTACTGGTAGAAAAGGAAGGAGCGTGCTGAAGCCTTCTGACTCTTCTGTTGCCTCTAGCAATCTTCCACTTTGCTTGAATTTGCCTGGTAGCTTATAGGAGGCTGAGAACAGGCTGCATATAGTGTTTCCCAAGCAGAGTTGTGTTGGTGGACAAGCTGGCTGGATTCTACAAAGTTGAAATCCTGGTCTTCCTGTCTGTGGCCAGCGTCCTTCAGCTGCAGACCGACTGTGGGCCCCTTGATACTCTCCTTTCTGAACAAAGGGTGGATGGGTTAAAAAAAATTGGATAATGCTTTTCAATTTTTCCTTCCCCAAACTAAAGCATAAATTGCTTAGCTTAATTTTCAAAATTTTTATAGTTTGGGCCAAGTCGCTCTTTCCACCTCTCCTATTCAGCTTGTTCTTTACAAGCTTTGTGTATGTTGCTGTTGTACTCATAATTTCTCCCGAGACTGTGGGCCTTCTGTTCTCACATCTTCCCCACTTTCCTCTGCCCTACTTTCTGGTGAGTCCATAGGCCTCACCACAGACAGTTCTGCGATGACGCTTTCTTTATCCTTCTCTGAAGCGGGCCTCACCTTCCCTAACCCACCTACCTTGTAAGGTCACATGGTCTGTCTCTTGCTCTCTATTGTAGTATTTGTACAAGGTGAATGTTTTCTTTCTGTTACTAGAATATAAAGTTCTTTTTTTGGGGAGGGGTCCGGTCATGGGGCCTGAACTCTGGGCCTGGGCGCTGTCCCTCAGCTCTTCAGCTCAAGGCTAGCACTCTTCCACTTGAGCCACAGCGCCACTTCCGGCTTTTTTTCTTTTTGCTTATGTGGTGCTGAGGAATCGAACCCAGGGCCTCAGGCATGCAAGGCAAGCGCTCCACCACTGAGCCACCTTCCCAGCCCGAATATAAAGTTCTTGAAAGCAGCAGTTACCTTGTTCTTATGGGATATACCCTAGGTATTAAAAAAAAATTGCAGCACTTGTGGAATGGAATGAATAAGTGCCTATCTTGATTTGTAAAAATTACCATTCTCCACCTCTCCCCCTCCCCGGCCCAACATCAAGACTCAATTTGCCTAAGAAGAAAAAGAAAGAACGAGAAGGTGAGGCGCAAGAGGCCTCCCTGAAGAATGATAACAGCTCTGAGCAACTGGATGCAGACGGGGACTCCTCCAGCGAGGTGTCCAGTGAGATCAACTTCAACTTCGAGTATGCGCAGATGGAGGTGACCATGAAGGCCCTGGGAAATAACGGTGAGCAGGTCTGCTGCACTGTAGGATCTCCTGAGGTGGGCAGTGCTAACAGTGTTTTCCATGAGACCTTTTAAGTGTTCACAAGAAAGTCTCTATGTTGGGCTGGGAAGGTGGCTCAGTGGTAGAGCGCTTGCCTTGCATGTCTGAGGCCCTGGGTTCCATTCCTCAGCACCACATAAGCAAAAAGAAAAAAGCTGGAAGTGGCGCTGTGGCTCAAATGGTAGAGCGCTAGCCTTGAGCTGAAGAGCTGAGGGGCAGCGCCCAGGCCCAGAGTTAAGGCCCCACGACTGGACCCCCCCCCAAAAAAAAAAAAAAGAAAGTCTCTATGTTGCTGATTGTAGAGCTCCATTCTTTGTCTTTTATTTATAAAAACCTGCCTTCTCTTTGCTTTTGATATATGGTTAGATTTATTGTGATACCTGGTAAACATTGTTTTCATTGGTAGAAGTTTGGAGATGTGAATCTTCACTGCCCCTAGCTTATTCCTACTATTGTAATATATCTTCATGTCTTAGGTGCTATTTAGACCTACTTTTTCTATATGGATGACTGGTATGGAATATCTAATTGAGAATAGATTACTATAGTATAGATTAATGTGGTACACTACGTTACACACAGCTATGTTGGTTACAGATTGTCTTAAATGGTTTTGGTTGTGGTAATTAGCTGATAGTACAGTCATACAGAACACGTGAAGCACACTGAACTTTTTGTTTGTATAAACGTGTTTAGATCCCATGCAGTCAGTATTGAACAGCCTCGAGCAACAGCATGAAGAGGAGAAGCGGTCTGCACTGGAGCGCCAGCGGCTTATGTACGAGCACGAGCTGGAGCAGCTCCGGAGAAGGCTGTCCCCTGAGAAGCAGAACTGCCGCATGGACAGGCTCTCCTTCCACTCACCCAGTGCCCAGCAGCGTTTGAGACAGTGGGCCGAGGAGAGGTAGGTGGCGTGGGGGTTGGGGGTAGGGGTCATGCTCCCACCTGCTCTTGGATGTTACTTGCAAAACCATTACATTTCAAGAGAGTGTTTCAGCCCAGAATTGCTGTTGTGGTGTTGATCATGGGAACTGTCAGTAAGTACAGCTTTGTTTACATTAGGTGTTGCTCCTTTTCAGCTTATTTGCCTTTTATACTTTATTATTTCATTACACTTGAGATTCAGATGTCTGGGTAAATGCTTTTAAAAAGAAAACCATGAGGTTGGTTGTATGGACTGATCAGCTCAGGTAGGAAAAGCATGGTGCTAATGAGATGCAGATTGTAGGTTTATCAAACCTACGGGCTAATTAGCACCACACCAAAATGCTATGTTCCTTGATTACAGACTGGGGTAGGTCGCTATCCTCTGTGCTGCAGTCAGGCAGTTTCCTTATCAACTGGAGGCTGATAGAGATCTAGAGCTTCTGAATCTCCACTGCAGACTTGCTGAGTCAAAGTCTCAAGTTTATGAAGATCTCTATGATGCATATACCATCAGGTTTCTGAAGCATTTCCTCTGCCTGTGGCCACACAAGGTGATCTGGTGCTTGGGATGTTACCCGGAAAAAAGTATGTGCATGGTCAGTGTCAGTCATTGGCTCCCTGTATGCAAAAGACCGTCATAAGCTAGGCTCAGTATAGTTTCCTGACATTGTGCTCTTCACGTTATCTCTCCAGCTCCACCCTTCTTCCTTTTATTATTGTTATCGTTACTATCATCATTTATTTACAGAGAAGCAACACTGAGTAACAGCTTGCTGAGGCTGAGGGAGCAAATTGTGAAGGCCAATCTGTTGGTGAGAGAAGCGAGTTACATTGCCGAGGAGCTGGATAAAAGAACGGAATATAAAGTTACCCTCCAGATCCCAGCCTGTAGCCTGGATGCCAACAGGAAGGTGAGGTGCCATCCCTCACCATCGATGAGGCAGTTCCCGCTTGCCCTGTCTAACGGGAGCCCTCGATCCCCCCTCCTCCCTTCCCTTGGACGTTCGTCAGATTTGGCTGGCGATGACTATCACAAAATAATTATTACGGAGAACTTAAGCAGGAAGAACTCTATTAGGTCACAGTTTCAGAGGTTTCAATCCATAGTCCTTGGTTTAAAAAAAATGACATAAATTTATTCAAACGGGAATAATTTTATGGTGTTATACAACTACTAGCTCTTACCTAGTAATCGGCTATTATAATAAATCCGAATATACTTGGAAGCTGATAATCATATTTTATTCCCAAATGGGGAAATGGTACACTTCTCATAGCTTACTGTTTTGGGAATTTCATAGGGCCTATCTCACAAATTTACTCCTTTAAGCATTGGCATATTATCCATTCATAAAATGAAAGACTCACTTTTGAAAGTAGAATGGTCTTCTCAGCAGACATCCCTTGCCCTGAACACTCTTTCAGCCCACTGGTGTTCTGTGGCCAGATGATGATGTGAATAGAGCATTTTTATTTCTATTAGTGTCAGGTCTTAAATTTAAGTTTATCTCCAACTACAGTCAAAGTGTAAATTTACATGGACACCTAAGTTTATATTGAAATCTGAAGTTTGATTGCATGGAAGACCCAGTAGAGGCTGTCAGAGCTTTGGGATGCCCTGTGGCAGTCCTGTTCCTGTAACAAGCCATGCCTGGCGGCTGTGACACTCACGCTCAGGCTCACTGTGGCCATCTCTGACGGGTGGCCGGGGTGTCACGCTGTTGTCTGCTGTTGGCATCTCTGATGAGTGGCCATTGTCTGCTATCTTTGCAGCGAGGCTCTCTTCTCAGTGAACCTGCGATCCAGGTGAGAAGAAAAGGAAAAGGAAAACAAATCTGGTCTTTGGAAAAACTGGAAAACCGGCTCCTGGACATGAGAGACCTTTATCAGGACTGGAAGGAATGCGAAGAGGACTCCCACGTAAGTTCCTGAAGCAAAGTGGCTTAGCTGGTAGTCCTAGACTTAGGCTGGGTGAAACTGCTTGTCTCTTCATTTTTACACTGTTGTTTTCCTATCTCTACTGTAAAAATTATCTTCATATTCTAAGTTGCTTAATACTAAGTTTAATAGTCTGTCTTTCTCTTTCTCTCACTCTTTCTCTCTTCCTCTCTTTCTTTCTCTCTTTCTTTTCTTTCTTTCTTTCTTTCTCTGTTGTGGGGCTTAAACTAAGGGCCTTGTGCTGACCCTGAGCCTCTTTGTGATCAAGGCTAGTTAGTGCTCTATCACTTTGAGCCAAAGCTCTACTTCCCATTTTCCAGTGGTTAACTGGAGACGAGAGTCTCACTGACTTTCTTGCGATCCTTGGATCTCAGCTTCCTCAGTAGCTAGGATTATAGGAGCTGGGAGCCACTGGTTCCTGGCTTGGTCTCTTCTTTTTTCTTCTCTTCACCTCTCTTCTCTGGATTTCCAGCACAAATCTTTTTACTGTCTGGTGTCTGTTGGTAAGTATCCTTTTCTGCTGCTACCGCTGCTCTAGAATTCTCTTAACCATGGAACCAAGCTCTATCATCTCCTTTCCCATTTCTCTGTGCATGGAACTTTGCAAAGGATAAACTTACAATATATGCTTATGTTTTCTAGCTTTTTAATTTTTTTGTGAACATTTATTTTTGGACAATGTCACCCTTCATGTTTTCTAATTTGGCATTTCCATACTTGTGGAAGTGTTGGTCCTAAAGCAGGTGCTGCTTGCTATACTGGTACTTGCTTCTCAGTTGGTAGGTTTTCCATTAGGTCAGACATCTACTTGTACATCTTTGAAATAGCAATATGTGCACATACTTTTAATACTGCTGACCCTCTCTTCACATGAGTTCTTCCTTAACTTTTTGTTTTGTAAAAATTTTATTTTTCCAGTGATCAAGAAAAATGACATTTTCTTTTTAGACTGCATTTTTTTTTTTTTTTTTTTTTTGGGTCCAGTCGTGGGGCCTGAACTCTGGGCCTGGGCACTGTCCCTCAGCTCTTCAGCTCAAGGCTAGCACTCT